AACAGCGATGATAGGGTCCAGGCCGGGCATTTCTTTGTAGGTCCAAGCAAAGACATCTTTGTACTCTAACAATAGCTGATAATACTCTTCTATCTCATTCGTACTTAATAATGCACTTACGAAGATAGGCTTTGGTTCCTCGCTTGTACCTAAGTTGAGTTCCTTGAGATCATCAACCGTGGCTTGACCTCCATCTTCGAGCTGTGGTGGTGCAGCAGTGACATCTTCCTTGGGGATTTCGTCTTCTTTGCCTTCTTGAATCGTGATGTGGAAGACATCTTGGACCTCCTCTTCAGTGCTATCTTCTCGAGCTTGTTGGCATGAGGATTGTCCGGTGTGGATGATAGTACGCCTTCTTACTTTTAATGGTCCATTTGTGTTAACTTCTAAGATTGATTGGCGCTTCATCCTTGAAGGAATCAAGCTTCGAACGTCGCCTTTTTCTGCTAACCAATCGAACTTTTCTTCCTTTGGTGTTGTCTTCCTCTTTCTAGAAGGCTTTTCATTATCTTCAAATCTTTCCGAAGTTGATCGTCGCAAAGGAGAGATAGCTGTGTTGCTTTGTTTCTTAGGCTTTAACAACTTTTCAAAGACAGAGCTTTGGAATGTTGGCGCGTTAAGCCTCTTGAAGACAGAGGTTCGGTCTTGACCACCAATACGATTAAGCACTGAAATTCTGGGGCTTGAACGGCTTATCCTATCAAAGGCCGACGTCCGAGAAGCGGATTTAGGTTCTTCTTGGTCTTGTTCAATGCTCACGCTGACGTATTGAGCGCTAGTATTTTTCGCTTTGTTTGAAATCATCACAGGTGCATTTGGTGTGAAGCCAAGTCTGGCTTTGTTGTTGTCCACTCCGTAACCATGCTCCTTAAACTTATTTTGAGTTTTGGTGAGGTTACGTTCTTTGTCATTGACAGTGTTTGAAACCTTCTTTCCAGCCGTAGAAGAGGAAGTGAAGTCGTACCCGGCCTTCAACATGAGTTTGTAGGCGTTTGGGTCGAAACCTTCCTCGGTCCTTTTGGTTGGAAGAAAGCTTGATTCCACCTCCTCTGGTAGAGTTTTTATGAAGCCTTGTGGTAGTCTTGCGACCTTAGCACTCCCTAGCTGTGTCAGAGGCAAAACTGCATTCGTCTTAAGCAACTTCACATTATCTTTGTGCCACCGTGTGTCGGCTTTTCTTGTTCCAGTTTCGAATGGAGATTGACCATTCTTTCTTCTTGACATCGGGATATACCGGAATATGGGCGTGTTCGGTCCTTTTGAAGGCATCCTACTCCTTTTGGTTGTCGCAGGTTTAGCAAACTCGTCCTCGTCTTTGCTTAACGATGGCACAGCTTGCTCTTTTTACTTTTTAGGCATGGCTTGCCACTCCTGCTTTTTAAGTGTTGCTTTGCCCGTGGATTTGATCTCTTCCGGAAGAGCTTCGAGTACCATGTCTTCGTCCATGTAGAACTTGGCGTCTGCAAAGTGTGATTCGGCTTTAGTGAATGGCTTGGTGTCACCTTGGATCACCTTCACTCCTTCTCGGTAAAATTTTAGGCATTGGTGAAGGGTGGACGGTACTACCCCATTTGCGTGGATCCAAGGTCTTCCTAGGAGCAAGCTGTAGGAAGTTCTTGCATCAATCACGTGGAATATCGTGCTTGATTTGAGCTCACCAATGGTCATCTCTACTCGGATCATGCTCATCGCCCTTTGTCCTCCTTGGTTAAAACCCTGGATCAGCAGACGGCTCAGGGATAGTTCATTCACCTTGATGCCAATTATGGTCATTGTTGATTTTGGCATGATGTTTATGGCCGACCCACCATCCACAAGCATGCGGTTGACTTTGTGTTCCCTTACGTACCCCGAGATGAAGAAAGGACGGTTGTGTGGCTTTGATCCCAGCAGTAGGTCTTCGTCAGTGAAGTTAATTGCGTCATGGGTGGCACAACATGTGGCACATTCATGTGGCTGAAGCTTCGAGCCTTCGTCGTTACTTTCTTGCACTTCGTGGTCGCCAGGACTTGCCAAGACTGCTGCTAGTGCTCTTCGCATCCTTTTTGGCAATTGTAGCACTTCCTCGATGCTAAAGTGTGTTGGCAGACCTTCTTCAGGTGCGAGGGTCTTTTCTACCTCAGTGACGACAACTTTGCCTTTTGAGGGCTCTTCTATTTCTACTTTAACCATGTGATAAGCGACGGTAGTGCACTGTTGGAAAAAGTCATTCGGGAAGTACTCGTGCAAGGAAACGGGAACGCGTGGCTCCTGCTCCATAGGTTCCCCAGCATATGTTGTCTTATCATCATTTCTTTTAGGCTTCCCATTGTTGCGGCCGTGGTGATTTCTTCTTTGTTCTACCTTTGGCTGTATGACTCGTGGTCTTGGCTTCCTTGTCTTTTTGTAGGTTACCAATATCCATCCTTCTTCATCATCGGTATGCGCATCTTGGTCGCTTTCCCCCAGTGATGGTTGTGTAGGAGGTGCCGTGCAGCTTGAGCATTCACGGGAATGGTCAGGTGTCTCTTGGAGAGGCATGGGATCGAACGATCCAAACGCAATTGTAGTGGTATACGTTGTGGCCATGTCCTCAAGGTCGAGCTCAATTTGCCCTTGTTGTGCTAGCTTCATGATGAGTTCTTTAAGAACGAAGCACTTGCCAACAGGATGGCTCACAATACGATGGTACTTGCAGTACCTAGGATCGTTTATGCGATTCATTTCTTCAGGACGCTTGCATTCGGGTAGCTCAATCACCTTTTTTTCCAGCAAGTCATCTAACATGGCAGCCATGTCAGAGTCAGGAAAAAGGTACGTTTTCTGTTCCAACTCTCTCAAGGTGCTCTTGTATCTGTCTTGGGTGAGAGAAGGCTCACCTGTCTTTATCTCCTTCGCTTTCTTCTTGGAGGAGATCTTGATGGGCGCTGAGGAGGTCTTGATGAGGGTAGTGTTGACGGTGAAAGCTTCCTTAGCGGGCTTCTTCCCGGTATTGTCTACATTTGGGGCGAATACTTTATCCTTCTTGAAGTTAGTAATCGGCTCATTTTTCCTGTGATTAGCGATACTCAGCTCCATGTCGTGGGAACAAGTTGCTAGCTCTTCGAATGTTCTTGGTTTTATGCCTTGGAGGATGTAATGTAACCCCCAGTGCATGCCTTGAACGCACATCTCAATGGCAGAGGTTTCAAAAAGTCGATCTTTGCAATCCAGACTTAACGAACGCCATCTATTGATGTAGTCGACGACAGGTTCATCTTTCTACTGTTTCGTACTGGTCAGCTCTAGCATGCTTACAGTACGGCGAGTGCTGTAGAAGAGGTTGAGGAATTCCCTTTCTAGCTGATCCCAACTGTTGATAGACTCGGGTTCGAGGTCGGTGTACCAGTCAAAAGCATTACTTTTCAGCGAACGCACAAATTGTTTGATGAGGTAGTCCCCCTCTGTCCCAGCATTGTTGCAAGTTTCAATGAAATGGGCGACGTGTTGCTTCGGGTTGCCTTTTCCATCGAACTGCATGAATTTTGGGGGCTGATAACCCCTTGGCATCTTCAAAGCATCAATCTTCTTGGAATAAGGCTTTGAGTACAGTACGGAGTCATGTGAGCTTCCTTCGTACTGTGTCTTGATAGTGCTTGCAATCATCTCCTGTAGCTGCTGGATAGAGAGAGATCCCATGAACGCCGTTGCTTGGTCTAGCTTCAGCTTCTCTTCGACTTTCTCCGCTGGAGGCTTCTCTTCTTCGTCGACTTCTTTCTTTAATAGGCCAACATTTGGGTCGACTTTCACGTCGGGCCGCGCATCTAGTTAGTTGACAAGTGCGGCAATCTGCAAGTCCTTCTCTTCCACAGTTCGTGTGAGTTTTGCGATTGCTTCATTCATCTGAGCTAGTTGCTCATCGATTGAAGTTGCTCCAGTGGTCATGACTTGCATGGTTGTACTGCCGCTCGAATCAGCGTCGGAGAGTAGGGACTCTGAGTATTTGCTCGGGCTCTCCCCTCTTGACACCCTTAGCGAGGCTAGGGTGATCACAGGCTCGTGCCTCAGGTGCTCTTGTTCTTTTGACAGAGTTAATGCAGGGGCGGAAACCGCGACAAAAAGAGCTCTTGCCTTACTTCGGGTTGTGATGCCCGAAATATCACCACTTGCGGCGATGATGTTCTTGTTCTTCGCTTTGATTGCGGGAACAGCTTGATCTTTTCTTGATGCCATTTGCGTTTTTCGATGATTTGAGGATAGAGATAAGAGGTAGAGATATCCCACCGGGCGTGCCAAATTTGTAAACACGAAAAATTCCTGAAACAAGAAACAAGAATACGTGTACAAAATATATTTTTGTATTAATGATTTTTGGGGTTACAATCTCTTTGTAATTTGATCCTCTGATTCTATCTTCGTATGGTGTAGGTTTGTGGATGAGTTGTTGATCCAAAGGACCGTCGGGGCTTGATCTAGGGATGAACAGTTGATGAATGGATCTTCAAGGGGCGTTGGGCTTGATCTTGAAGAATGGGTGTATAGGTTTGTTGAGATTGTTGATCCAAAGGGCCGTTGGGGCTTGATCTTAGGATGAACGGATGATGAATGATGAACACCTTCTTCAAGGGGCCGTCGGGGCTTGATCTTGAGTCGGTGGAAGTTCTTCAAGGACCGTTGGGGCTTGATATTGAAGGAGGATTTGACGAAGAACGAAGAGTCCTTTCTTGATCCTTCGGGATTTTCTTGAGAGCTTTAGAGTTTCAAGGCTTCAAGGTTTTGGTGTAGGTTTGTAAATTCCCCATTTTCTCTTGATGGAGAAAGCTATTTATAGGCCAAGAGAGTGAATCACCACCATCCATTTTTTTGGTGAAGTGAGTGGAGTTGGTAGGTGAAGTAAATATGTAATGTAGGTGAAATGAATGTGTGATGTAAGTGAAATGAATAAAAGTTGTAATTTTAATACATTGGTTAACTTTTATTTCACTAAAATTTCGGTGTCTACGATACGACTCTAATTCCATTTCATTTCAACTCCGCCTCAGTTCAATTCATTCTCAATTCTTCTCATTCCGTCTGTTTAAAGCTGGGGTTTTGGGTGTTTTCTCTGGCCTGGTAAGATTGGTTTTCAAGATTTCTGGGGTTGTGATAAGGCCTGAATATTTAGCGGTTTTTTCGTTTGTTTCTGTGTGATTTGCACTGATTGTGGTCAAATCAATTTCCGATTTTGTTTTCCGTTTGAGCACCGGTGGTTTTTGCATCTCTGGGAAGTTAATTTTCTGCAACTGAGGTATGTTTTTTGACTACTGTGTTTTGGTTAATTTTGGATGAATTGTAAGCCTTTGGTTTTGGGTTAGCTCTGATCATATGATAGGGTTTTCCTGGCTAAGAGGATATTCTGCGGTTTGGTTCCTCGCTTGGTCAGTCGCAGATTTACCGACGGTTCCGGCGATCCTGTTATTTTTTGGGTAAGTTTTTTGTTTTTTTGTTGTTTCCCCGTTTGACAACCCCTTGGTCAATGTTAGATTAAAATATGTTTGTAATTTTTTCGAACAGATGAGAGGGGTGATTGGAATTTGGGAAAATATGGTCTCAAGTTAAAATTTGTATATGGTTTCAGCGCTGTGTGCATTGTCAATGTGAAATTAGTGAGCCATAAATAATTTGTTGGAAATAATAAGTGTCTGATGAATTTTAAGGCGTTGAAGCTATCTTGCTACTGACAGGTGTTAGGTTAGCACAAAAAATTACAGGATTTTAGTTTTTGGTTTTCCCTTGCTGAACCACATGATCAATTGGATTGGATTAATGTGTGTGGTACAGTATTTTTAAGCCCAAGAAATATTAAAGTATTAACATTCTTATAAGGATTTTTTTTTTGTATGTTTTCTCACTTTTCTTAGTTTATGATTCAATTTTATACTCCATTCATGTATTTCATCAACTTATCAATTAGGTTCTTCTTTTGTCATTTTAAGAATCAGGTTGTTCTTCTTTTGTGATTTCAGTAATTGGGTCTTTAGTGACTGCACAGATTCATGGTTTTTTCACTATTTCAGAAGCAGTTCATTGAGTTGGATGTAATTTTGTTGAACTTGAAAATCATTTGATCTTCAGGGCGACCAAGTAAGTTTGTGGAGGTCCATTTTTTTTTTATTCTTATACAAGGTGACAATATTTGTTATTTGAGTCAGATAATTTTTGGAATGGATTTGAAACAAAGATGAGAGAATATGCAAATTAGTCTGTTATATAGGAGGAAATGAGTCTATTCTGCCATTTGGATGACAGTAGTTTTTAGTTTTAAGATCATTGAGAGTGATGAGATTTCAATGATATTTGTTTGTAGGAAACTGATTTTAAACAAAATAGTTAGCTTTTTTAAAGCTCATGCAGGTTTTATGAATACCAAACCTTAGGGATATCGTGTTGTTTTAGCCTCTTATCCAGATTTACGACTGCACTTTCCTGCGGTGTTTAGAGAGGTTTTTCATGCTATCCGATGTTGTATAGTTAGGTTTTTACGTTTGATTATTTAGTTTAATGACTGTTTGGACCATTACAAGTATTCTTTCTTTGGGTGTTTTTTGTTCTGATAATTAAATTCATATAAATTTGTTGGCCTTTTGGTTTATCAGTTATGTTATGTTTGGCTGAGCTTAAACATAAAATGTGTTCCGTTGAGAGGCTATTCATTAAACAAAAAATTATTGCTGCCTTTTGCACGTTGTTTAAATTTGAGATGCAAGTGTCTCTCCTCTTAGGTTATGACATGGTCTTGGATTGTACATGCTTTGTGAAAAAAGTTTTCATCTTTTTTTTGTCGTTGTGGTTTTTTCAGTTATACCCTGCTTTGAATGGGAAAAAAAAAGTATTTTGCATTCACTATTATGTGTGTTTAATATGTATATTCACTTTTTCAGTTATACGTACTGGAAACAATACTGGTTACAAAGTTTTCATACCAAGGATTACTCTTGCAGCAACAGAGAGTAAGTGGCCTTTTGTTTTTAAAAGACGTCGATTCTCAATTAGACCATGTTTTGCAATGACTATTAACAAAAGTCAAGCTTTGAAACAAGTTGGTTTATGTCTTCTTGAACCAGTCTTTACCCATGGTCAATTGTATGTTGCATTATTTAGAGTGACATCAAGAGAAGATCTCAAAATTTTGATAACTGATGGAGAAATTAATGCCAACAATTATACTGCAAATATAGTATTTAAAGATGTTCTTCAAAATTTACAATCAAATTGTTAATTTAATTTGCCTATATTATATATATTTAGTACAATTTCGGCAATCATAAAACAATGTTTGCTTTCAGTCTCAAAAGCATTGTTAACTGTTATGCTTATCTATGTTCTGGACGTGCAGAATAAATGATGCAATCAGATCAAACGTAACATATACAACAACATTAAACTTAGGTTAGTTTTAATACAGCTATCTTTTTTACTCACCCGTGTTATAAATTCTTTTGTTTTACCCTGACTTTATGATGTCTTAGAATATTTGATCTCTGCATAGAATTACTGTTTATAATGCTTCCACTGACCATTTCGTCATCTTCAACTTCTAGAAAAATTACAGCTGTCAATATGAATTATACCAAAAGTGCATTCCCATATCCTTTTTGGCTTTTTCATATTTTATTCTTTGTAATTTCCATTATGTAATAACTATAACGAACTTCCTATGAAATTTTGAATACTTATATTCCTCAATTTACACCACAACTTAGCACCTACGAAAATTAGGCATTTTCATAATTAAAGTTTTAACATATACTCATTTACTCTGCAGGTTCATATTCCTCAATTTATCTTAATGCATTGGAAAAATTGCACCTCCACAGCCAAGGTAAATATTGCTAAAGCTACTAATACTCCACACATGCCAAATATAAACAACCACACATATACGTTTCTTTCCTTTTGATAAAAATATGTCTCCAGCCATTTCTAGCATCTGTGTTTAATCTATAAAATATGCATATACGAATACTATGTTTGCTAAAAAAACATATTAATATTGATCTCTTTTTTTGTACAAATTAGGTCATCATTCTGTTGAAATATACCAATTTCTTTCTGTTTCCTTTCTTTCATCTTGCCAGCACCCATGGTGTTCATCACTCACTCAGCTACGCGGTTCATTGTCTCCTTTGTTTCTCATACAAGAACATTCCTGTAACAATTAATGGTATGTTAAAAATATTTTAATTTATTCCCTTTTCCATAAATGCTTTCTGCTTAAATTAAATTTTTACTAATCTTTCTCTTCAGTGGAACTGATTGTTACACATATATATATATCCACAGTATTTGCTTTTTATTTGCTTTTAATACATCATTAATTACTTGCCTACACATAAATGGATTCAGTTGGACATCCAAAAGTGTTATCAAAGATGTTGTAAACAAAAATGTATCCACTCCATGACCCTTGGTTGAACAAAAAAAACACATCACCAATAAAAGCAATTGTTTAATTTATCTATACAACATTCTTATTATTGGTTAGATAGATTAAACAATTCTCCACTTCATTTTGTGTTCTTTTGTTCAATCAAAGGATAGCCATAAAATATACCTATGGTTAAAGAGTCTAGATTCATACTTTAGGATATCCATCTTATATCCCTCAATGAATAGGTAAGAAACTTATTGTGTATTTATAGCAAGTGAAAAGAAGAAACTATTTGTTTATGTATTGGTAACAGTCAGTTCCTCTGAAGAGGAAAGACGGACATGATCATAATGCCAAGCAAAATTAAAGTTCAAACATCACCCCAAATTATATCTTTGTATGCCATAAATATACAAAATAAGGCATATCGGATCCATCCCTCAACGTCCTTTGTTACCATTTTTACAATGAAAAAAGACATAATTCACCCTATTTTTCCATTAGTAATTTCTAATTTCCCTTCTGTTTCTTATTTTCAAACTCATTCCCCAGCCTGATCAACATCTTTACCTATTTTTCCATTGGTAATTTGTATTTTTAATTATTTTCCATTCTTGCCTGAGTTTTTCTCACAACTTATAGTGTACAACTTGCTTTCTTCATTCTCTACACTATGGATTCGTGTCATTTAATTAGGATACCGTATGATTACACATTTTGCTATAGTTTTTCAAATGTCTTACAATGGTTTTGCATTACTGCTGATATCCTGCATCTCCACCTTGCAGAAACTACAAGGTATGCTTCCACTCCTCATGATCTGTAAATTACTATATTTGTCATTCAAATAATCTTAACAAACATTATGTAACCCATGTTTACCTAAGAAATCCAAAATTACAAAAAAACAGAAAACAGCTATATAAAGAAATGAACATACACGAACCAACTCATGCACAGTTTATGTTACTGCATTTGTTTCAGCATTTTGGTGTTTGTTCATTTGATTGAAATGCTGTTCCATCCTTGCACAAATTACAAGGTATGCTCCAATCAATGCTTTGATAAATTCCATTCAAATTGATACCAGTTATCACTGCATTTGAACATGTTCTGTTTGACACGCGCAGCGTCGTGCGGGCACCATTTCTAGTGTGTGTGTGTGTGTGTGTCTATATATATATATATATATATGAGGGAAGGGATTCCCATTTTTTTATAAAAATGAGGATTAGTTGCGGGGTTCACACTATATCGAACTTTAATGATCCGAACCTTTTTTTTTTTCAAGTTGCACTTCATAAATCATCCTTGCAAAATATTAGCCAAATCGGAAATGTTTAAGACATCTAACTGAGTTTAAAGAAATTAACGAATACTTTGTTATATAAGAAACAATGAAATTTGATCATAAGGATGATCTACGAATCGAGACTTACAAAATAGACGGTTCAGATCGTTGAAGTTCGATTTGGAGTGAGCCTCACACGTAATCCTCGTGTTTTGAAAAAAAATGAGGATCCCTTTGCATAAAGGGCTGTATATATATATAGGTTCAAGCTAAATCACTCATGGGCAACCAAAACTACTTGATTTCCAACATTTCTGCCACTAAAAAGTCCCACAAGAACTGCAGGAGCACTCTCAAGGCCTTAAGCTATGTCTTCCAGATACACTATTTTCCCTTCTCTGATGTAGGGGATCACCATGTCCAGAAACTTGGGGTAGAGGTGGAAATAATCAGACATGACGAAGCCTTTGATGCGAATCTGATTGTAGATGATAAAGACGAGGTTGCTGTAGTCTTGCTGCTGTTTGAGATTTTAATACGAGATCAATCCGCATACCGCAATTCGGCCATGACATCTCATGTTAATGAGCACAGCATCCAGCATTTTTCCTCCAACGTTCTCAAAGTGAATGTCAATGCCTTCAGGGAAGTACCTTTTCAAAGCTGCCTCCAGGTCAGGCTCTTCCTTATAATTGAAAGCCTCATCAAATCCAAGCTTGTTCTTTAGTAGATCGACCTACAGCCATGAAGGCAAATTGTGGACTTTATGATACACACACACACACACACACACACAAATACAGTTATTGCGTATAAGATGTCCCTTTTTTTTCTTAAGGAATGGACTCGTCGAGAAAACCTATTATCTTTCCAATTTTCTTCAGCTTTAGAGTGTAGAATCACCTTTCAAAGTGTAGAACTTAAACTTTATGGGTTCTTATCTCGGATTAGTTGATGGCTTCGATTATGCATTTTAAGTAGTATCAAAGTTGAATAAACTTTATCATAAAGTGAGACTTTCTCGAAAGGTCCATCCTTTATAAAAGAACGAACATCCTACAAAAAGAATCTCAATTGCTTTAACTTGTTTTTCATACAGTAATATTTGACACTAAGTGGAAGGAGGATATGTACTTTATGGAGAGGGATTGGCAATGCCACACAATGGTCCAACCGCTTACTAGGTATCAAACTCAGCACAAATATTATACATCTCGCCATCTATTTGAATCGAACATGAGACGTTTCACTTACAAATGAAGATGAATGCTACTAGACTGTGGTACTAGTTGGTTTTAGTCGCTTGAACTTTGTTTGCTTAAACTTGCACTTAATGAGGGTTCTCCTTAATCGTTAATTTTATTCCTAAATGATCATAAAGCTAATAACTCACCTTCTCTTTACTTCCAACACTTCCAACAACATAGCATCCCATTAGCTTTGCAAACTGCCCAACAAGCTGACCAACTGCACCAGCTGCGGCAGAAACGAAGACATAATCTCCTTTCTTCGGCGAACAGATTTCATGAAAACCAATGAAGGCAGTTATACCCGGCATGCCTAAATGATTCAAAGAAATAAAGGATTAAATAGTGATTGTACAAAGTATGAACATGTATAACTCATAGTTTTGATGAAGAACTGGCACATACCAAGAAGTCCAGTACAGTAGGCAAGGGGAACATCAGTGTGGTGGATTTTAAAGAGCTGTTCTGGCTCTGTGAAGATGCTGTACTCTTCCCATCCTGTTGTCCCCCAAACCAAGTCACCTTCCTTGAACTCCGGGTGCCCCGACTCCAAAATTTTAGCCACACCAAACCCATTTAATGGCTGAAGAAATGCATCAACAAGTATTTATTTTCAGATTTTTCATGTAGTGAATTCAGTTGTAACATGCTTAAGCCAGATGATTGAATCTCAACCCTCTAAAATGAGAAAGCATAGTGATTTCATACTCCGTATTCTCCTTCCCCTATATTATTCTTTGATTTATTCAATCCAAACGCTAAAAAAGAGAGATGAGTGCAAAGGATAAAGGAGAGTGAGAAAATATTTTTCTGATAAAAAATACTTGAATATGGTCATTCGTGCTACGTGAGTCTTTAAACAGGAAAATAAATTTTGATGTCTAGAGAGTCATCTGCCCAAGATAGACAAGGGTGATTCCTTGCATTCAAGTCCTACATAGGCCTATTTTGGTGCCCCTGAATGCAGGGGATCCCCTTATGCGTGTCTTAGGCAGGACGTGGAACATGGAACAGGTAGTTCTTGATCACCACTGCCTTGTAGTCCTACAATATGTAGCATTTAATTTACGGATAATACTAGGGTGACCAAAATTTTAAACCAAATTATATGATTGTTGATGATTGGATTAGTATGTTGATTAAAGTGCTTATTTTTTAATTGCTAACACGTCATTTGGTTTACTTAGCATTATCCTTAATTTACGTATCAAAGTTTGCTTGATTTTGTTTGTCAAAGTGTTTGAGGAGTTGTATGGTGGCACGTATATGGTTGGATATATCTCCTTCCATTCCATTTCTGCTCAAGAAAGCTACGGTTATGTCATCATCTTAAGGAATCATAGACGGAACTAATACTATAGCTGCCAAGAAAAGTCCATGCTCCTAATCTTTAAGAGCATTCCACCACACGAATACACTGACATTGCCACATGGGGTCCCTTGTCATTCAAGCAACATAACCAACACAAAGTGTTGTTCACAAGACCAACTTACATGACATAAGTACACCGCCACTATAGTGTTTGGTGTCAATCATACAATGTCTCGCGGAAATATACTTGCACGTAGCATTGCCCACATAACCCAAAACATCACGGTAACGATGTTGGTTAATACAAGATGCCACAGTTACTGTATACTCGTTCCATGGAAGTCTTTCTCGTCATTCACTCTCCGAAAAATCATCATCAAACTCCTTTTACGTCAATATAGTGAATGAAAGTTAAACATTGTGCATATACTAGTTGAGTATTTGTAGGAGTTTCGTCATCTGGGAAAAACAGTAACATTCACAACTTGGCACAGAAACATAGCTGCCTGTGTTTGATGTGTAAAGGATACTTTGTCCAGCAACAGCATGGGATTTCTAATCGCCAAAGCGTCGTCCATGAACCTTGACTAGGACATAAATTCTACCTCATTCAACTGGGAAAAAATTAGTCGTTTTACGCCACAAAGACGACACTTCATTTTACGTCACTCCATATACCCTGAAAATAAATCAATCAGAAGGAGGAGGAAGACAACCGTTGATTTCGAGACATGGAATCATGGCAGCCATATTTGAAACGCATACAGCGATGGTATTTCAGCAACCGAAAAAGAACATGTAGAGAACTGAACAAGATTACAAGGCACAAGTAAAGTGCTGCTGCGTACAAAAGCTGAATTAAGGAAGAAATTATATCATTAATATAAATGCTGGTGTTTTTCTATTAGACAAGCTAGGAAACTATTGAATTGCATCTCAGACAACTTAATTACATCGCTTGTTTCACCGAGTTAAGGCGAAAACTCTACATATTGATTTAAAAGGGCAACTATAAATAAGAAAACTTTTTTTATCGTATACATAATTCCCAACAAAAAATTTGTTGGCAAATAATTCGATAGAGAGGCCTAATCTGGAAACAGCGGAAGCAGCACTACAACTCTCACCTTGAAACTTCTACAGATGAATTTTCAAATGGGTTTCAGCATTCTGGAGATGAATTTTGTCGTCATTACCATCCTCCACTTGTTCGGGCATTACAAGTCATAGTGAATTGGAACCAAGAGGTGAGTTTCTCAATTGATCAGGTTACTGTTTAACTCTAGAATTTACTAACCACGAAGATTTTCGTGGAAAATTAACACTATTTACACATTTTCCCAGCATAAATGGTAACAGAGACATGCAAACAATTATCGCATCGGCATTACCTTATAGATGAAACAAGCAACTTGCAAGCATTCACTATAGTAAATTTATGCTTTAACAGGGCCTTTTGCTCCCTCAGTTCTGTTCTCTTCAAGTGGTTTTTTGACTGTCTCAACCGTGGAGACTTCTTCCTTACCATCTTCGTCAGAACTACCCTTGTTGCTAACGAAGATCCCTAAAAAAAGTAGTACAAGCTTATTAACCTGATGCCGCTCAAAAAAAATTCACTCGCTTTAAAAATTTATAATACGAATTGAACAAATTATTATAACTAGTTGTCCTCCACCAACCTATGAACCATATTCCAGACGCAAGAAACAGAACAGATGTCACAGCAAGAGTTGTTATCCTCCAATTTTTAACATGGTCCTGCATATGAAAAGAACAAAACCCAAAACGGGAAAAACGAACATGGTGAGGATGCTAAACCGACAAGACAACCCTTCTATGAAAATTCACTCCAAACTGAACACTGGAATCAACTTCTTTCCCTTGCTGTCAGTATACCGCCTAGGAGCTGCTTCTCCAAATACCAACAGTAATAGAGTGACATAATTATATCACCAAAACATCAGCAGTAATCTCCACTTCCTCAAACAAATTATATAGAAAATAACTTTGAAGGCGCACCTGGAGTATTCCAGCAAGAGGCGAGGAAGGAACATCACCAAAGATGTGGATTGAAACAGTTGAGACAGCCATAGCCAATGGCCTAAGACTTGGTGTCACGCACTGCAGAGACACATAATTAACTGGAGCCTGCCAAGGAAAAGTGATTAACAGGGCAAACGTTATATAAAACTGGAATAGTATTTTATATTTATTATATATCAGTGAGCAGTCATTATCATATTATATGCTTCAGACTAACCACATATGTGTGGGTTTTCATCCCTACTGGTGGTACTTATGTGCATAACCAAACGTTGAGTTATGGCGTTAAAGTTTAGTAGACAAGATCATACTCATCATATACTAATCCACTCATTATTATAAGCAGACTATTACAAATTGAAGTTTAGCGTGCACAGTATGAATTGAAACCACCAAAGTTCAACCCAAATTGGAGAATTTTAAGATTACCTGGGTTGCAAACACAAGGAGCTCCCCCAATGCGAAGAGAACTACAAAACCATACAAGTTCCTTACACAGAAGGCACTGAAGCAAAATATTGCGCCTAGAAATGTTGCAACAGAGAGAAGCTGTGAAAGAAGCAAAGGGTTTCAACAGCACATTCTAATGAAACATGTTAAAGAAGACCGTATCATAAACGCTGGACACAAGCAGAACTCACCTTAAAAGCGTTATAAATTGTGGCAGTCACTGCATCAAGGATGAGCCCTCCAGCTAACGTCCCCAGAATTCCACAAACAATTGTAATACCTCCGAACCACAAATCTGGCTTATTCTGTCCAAAGTTCCAATGAACGAGAATACTGTCAGAATTGTTAGAATATTATTTCCTTTATGCTAGACTGCCGTTATTAATATAGTCTATTATATTCGGATAATGCATTTATAAGGTAAAAGAGCTGATCCCATAAGTAATATCACTGGGAGATCATCGATATACCAACGCTTTTGATAGTTAAGGTCAAAATTCAGTTTCCTTTTAGCAAAAAAAGCAGGATTACGTGACCAAAAAAAAAAAAAAAGAAAAGAAAAAAAAGAGCAAAGAGCTATACCATATGATAAATGTCATAACCAGCCTTTGGTCCCCAGTACGAGTAGGCTCCAATGACAAAGTTATATGACACATAACCTGCCAGTCAATTAAATTGTGAGTAAAAAAAATATAAAAAGTATGTAAATAATAAATAGTAACCTTTAGTAGCACTTTATCAGAACTTTCTCCAGTTAAATTAGTGTAAGATTGCAAACATTACCACTTTTTTTTTACCCAATACAGGTAAAACATGATCAAGATCTATAAGATTAAGTACAATTGAAATTATATTTTACTATATTAGGATAAAATTTTAGAAGAACAAGTAGAGGATGAGGGAGTACCTAAGACATTAACAACATAAACTTTATCGAGCAAAAGCGCTTTCATATCTCTTGAGAATCTTGAGAGTTGGCTCAAAGACTTTGTAGCAGGGCTGGGCCTGAAATACACAAAAAGAAGAACAATCTAACAGATAAGAAATACCATTTTAGGATGTTAGATGTGTAAGGATCCTGTCCTACCCTCTCTATTGATTCTATCACGCTGACATTACTAAAACTTTTTTTTTCAGTTGATTAGGGGGCTAGCAGCCAAAAGATCCAACAGCAGATTAAGAAGCAAGGTCTAGCCACATGGGACACAAGGAAAAAGAGAACCATGTATTTATTTAAACATGTTACTAATGTGCCCATATCTGAAATGGAACTGGCATTTGAATTGCAGATGCATTGCAACGGTTTTTGTTATTTGAGCACCCTACCTGGTAGTGCTCAGCAGGTTTTCCCAGTTGACAGAGAGCAGAATGGGAACACTTCTGAAGTGGGCTAATAATTCTATTTTTCTCATAATTACGAAGGACAGTAAAGATAACCAAGTAATAGGGAAAAAGATGGATGCAATCATTACTTACCAAGAAGCTTTTTCTGTGACATCTGAATCTGCAGTTAGAAGCTAATCAGAATAAACATACAAATTTGGATATCAAATAACTTCTTGAAATTTAAAAAAAAAAAATATATCAAGCATCGGAGAACTGCTTCCACACTACCATTCATAGTCATTATGTTGAACATCTTAGATCCACCCGAAGTTCCTGCCCTTACAAACGCATTTAAGGAAAAGCTACAATGTAACTGATTATATTGATACAAATGATTGAAGCCGAACAAGGTTTCTCACACATTAATACTTTTTAAGATTAACGTGGGATATCTTTTAGAAATTAAAGAACGGAAAGTTCACCCCATAATTATCCTACATTACTAGTAAATGACAACACAAACTGTTCCTGAGACCATTTTCGAACTAAAAAAATACAGAGTAATATTTCTTTTTTGAAAAATGAAATCGACTTTGCAAAACAACAGAACATGAAATACCTTCAATTAAAGGACTAGTTGTTTCAATAGGTTCCAAAGTTTTTCTTGTGTCAGCAGGAGCAAGACCTAAAGTTACCAGTTAAGTTACATTACAACAAATCTGATGGATCATATATAAAACATAAGCTTCTTTATCACAGACGATGCATCACAGAGTCACAAAAAGAACGAAACAATAAAATTCACCTTTCAACTCCAATGGTTTCATCACAAAAGCCAATACACAAAATGGAAGCATACTTAATGCCTCTCCCCAGAATGCATAACGCCAACTGAAACTGGATCCCACCTAAACATTGATCCAAAGCAGAATATCATTACGACAAGACATCTACCCCAGTGCAAAATCACCATGATATACAAGGATGCTACCAATAGATAAATTTGATTTATTCAATCCAATGACCACAAATAAAGAGAGGTGTATGAAAGGCTAAATTGCAGTTGAAATCAATTGCCCTTACTAATAAGAATTAAGAAGTTGAACAAGCCATTACCTTAGTACAAGGAAAGAAACGCTTAATTTTAAAACACTAGGATACATTCCAAATTCAGAAGTGAAAGGGAACCTTCAAGGGCAGAGAGTATTGCATGTTGTTTCTTGCAACCAACAATTTAAGTTATCGAACTTTTCGATTGGTTTTGTAGAATGGGAGGAAGAGAAAGTGAGGGAAAGGCCAGCAATCGTCTAGATACGTGAATAGCTATCTCTATAATTACAGACCCTAAAATATTGAACTGATTTTGTCAATGATGTCATGGATATCCAACAATATCATGTGAGGTGATTGGTACCATGAGTAAAAGCGGATAGATGAGCCCACCCACAGTAAACCAATTAACAAGCTCCAACAGACACACACTTACCCAAAAACAAAATGGAATTTTGAAAAATTCAACCAGCAGCCTTTATATATGTACAAATATGAAGTTAGCTTGCAAAATTTAAAACTTACAAATCCACCATAAACATAGCCCACGGCAATTCCAGTTGGTATACACATGTAAAACATAGCAAGCCATGCTGTTTTCTGGGCCCACAATTGACAAATATTCAGCATAATTGTGAAAATAATCATCAAATACATCAAATATTGTCTACCTCTGAAACATATTTGATCGTAAAGAACAATAGGGAGGGATGAAGAGAAGGGAAAGAAACCAAACCTGAGTTGCAGGAGCATGGTCATCGATGAATGGTGCTGCAAGACTAATGAAAGATGCCTCACCAACTCCAACCAGCCTAGAATGGTAAACCTCAATTATAAACCCACAATCTAACACAGGAAGGTGATGCTGATGCAAAGAACAAAGCCAAAGTTGTAAAATCGGAGAATAGTACAGCATTGTTGCACTCACATGCGACATATTGCAATGGTCCAAAAGTTAATTGAACCACCACACCCGGCTGTGGCAAATGTCCAAATAGATAATCCAACTCCAATCAGCCTAAAAGGATTGTGACTGAAAAGACAACAATGCTTATGAATACTGTAAGTTAGCAACTCATCTCATGCATACTGTAAGTACTCACCTCTTTGCCAACGATGCAAAGATGGGTGAGGCCACAAGAAGGCCAACCATAAATGCAGATGACAGAGAGCCGTCTTCAAAATTGCTCAATTTAAAATCTCCCCTGTAAGGAACATGCCACCGTAAACCAAATACAACCAACAGATCAAAGGAATCGTGAAAAATAGTGCAAATTATTCAAATAAGTGACCCTAATTAAACGCTTCACGGATTTTCAAAAACTTATCGGAAATGAATCTAGTTTCTCGATAAACAAATGGATAATGAATGCATATGCGACAACAGCCACTGAATTAGACAGTAGAATGCCAGATTAATATTGGCCTCTAAGGCTCCGAAACTCTCATAAGAAACTCTAAAAATCTTACTGAATTCCGGTACCCGCGGTACAAATGCCGCTAGGATCACAAACCCCAATGCTACCGTTGACACCATTGCTGGCTATTGCTCCTCGATCGACATAATTAATCAAGTTAATCACACAGAACATCACGAGCAACCTGTTTTACGTACGAAATAAACAAAATATTTGATCACATTCCAGGAGCAACCTCTTCCCTTCAAATGCAGCTTCAAAATTTGAAAATTTACTGGCTCAATTACATTTCCAGATAAGAAAAATGCAGAAAACCCAAGAATTTTCAATTCAAAAGTAATTTAAGGGAAACTGAGTTGGGAATGTTTACCTTTTTGGGGTGAACCATGATGGATATCGAGGTGAGTCTGAGATGGGGCTCTCCGACATATCTGGGTTGGGAGGATCGGACGGCGGAGTAGGGATTGGAGGAGGCGCTTGATGGTGGTGCTGCTCCTGTTGCTTCTCTCGTTGTTGTGATTCCGCCATAATAATGATGAGATTATGAGAGAGAGGAGAGAAGAGGGAGGGGTGGAGAAAGAGAGCCTTGTTCCGCAAGCAACCTCCAAAGTTTACAGCACCCTCTGCCTCTGCCCCCTCTCTCCCCTCTCTCTCAGGACACATCTTTAACCATGTTTTGAAACTCATTTTTATCCATTTATAGAAAATAATGACAAATATTCATTTTTACCAAAAATTTGTTTTAGTAGTATGGTCTACGGTATTTCTGTTCGAATGGCAAGAGTTAGTAGATTAATAATTATAAAATAATACTTAAGCAAACAAACCAACAATATATATCATAAGGCCATAGTTAAGAGTATTTTTATTTGTGAGAGTCACACTGCCATGTCGGGTTAGTACTGATCCACTTATACAATATTTGGTGAGCAATAAGATTAATGTTTTGTGAACCTAAATTATAGAATTAGTGAATAGAGAAATGACTGCAAATAGTGGATTGCTTTGGTAGCTAGAGCTTTCCTCTTCATTCCTTGTGTCTCGGGTTCCAACCTTCCCTCTCCCCTCTAGTGTAGAGAAACATTGATAATTCTCTCCCCCATTTGATTTCTTGTTTATTTATCATTTTTCAATTGAGATTAGAATAATAATGTAGATGTCTACACAGCCACATTAGTTAAAGCTTATGCGCTCTCCTTAGAGAGTTAGAGTTCAAGTCCACCTCATGACAATTTAGATTGGTTTAAAACGGTCCGGTTACAATTTCGTACTCTAATAACATAGAACTCATTTTAGAAGTGCTTTCAAAAGCACTTGAAGTGCATTTAGGACAAGCACCAGTTACGTGCTTTAAGTTTAAAAAGCACTTCCAAACACACCCACAACAGAAGAAGAAAGTAGGTTTTGCAGTAGACAATTACATCCACACTCACCCAAATTGCGTAAATCTGTTTCCACTAACTAATTCTTAAACTGTAACAACTTGACACCATTTTACACACATGAAACAGATACAGAAACCCAACTTTCTTATTCACCCGCTCATACCTACTCGGTTTTGAAACTGTACATCTCTAGAACCCAGCTCTCGGCAACGGAAAACCTGCATAGAGGAATACGCAAGCTCTAACATACGCATTTATGTACACGTTCACAAATTTTTCAAGGCTGTATACGCAGAAGTATGGATGTCGCAGCACTCAGCATCCCACGAGAAGTCCATTTCCATGGCATCCGTTATCTTTCTCTTCCACTTCGACGGGTTGTTTTTCTTCAAATAACAGGACAGCAGATTTCAACAACTTAGAAGTCCATTTCCATGGCATCCGTTATCTTTCTCTTCCACTTCGACGGGTTGTTTTTCTTCAAATAACAGGACAGCAGATTTCAACAACTTTAGCATCTTGATAATAATTGGGAGTTTAGAAGAGAATCTGAAAGTTTAATGCCCAGGTAAAGAATCGCATACAATTTCATCCAGGGCTTGGCTTAGAGTCATATTTCCAAACGTACAGCATATGAAACGTGAGAAATTAGTGGTCTCGTAGTTATGTTCGACAAAGTTCCTGTTCAAAGTTATAGCCAATGAGACATTTATAATTATACTTTCAAATGAAATAACAGCACAAGAAAATATAACCATCTGTACGTTTTCATTCCGAAGAAGAAAACTTACCCGAACCCCTCGTCGTTGGAGTTTACTGTAATTGGACCAGCTCCGTATATTAAAGCCTTTAGCTATATACAATGAATAATTGCACATCAGACAAGGAAAATTATTTCCGTAAGTAAATTTCTCCGGAAATTTTAAAAGGTATTCAATTAAAACTAAAAGGAGAAAAGACAGGAACATAAACTAACACTGGGGAGACGGAAAGAGAGAACTAACTGGAACTTGAAGGTCAGGGTCATGAAAAGATTGGCATAAGATAACACCAGATCCCGTGAAAACCAAATGTGATAACGCTTCATCATTCCCATCTATGAATTGTACATTTGCATCCTGCAGCCAAAGGAGAACACAAAATATGTATAGGTGACGCGAAAAGCATGCAACAACTTTTGTTCTCACATCAAAGAAATACTGCCACTTACGACCTAATAGTTATACACATCAAAAGAATAAAAAGAATCTCATAAACACAACTATGGGTTGCATTGAACATATTAGGGTCTGCAGAAACTTTTGTTAAGACGCAAAAGATCAAAATACAAAAGCAAAATTCTATAATGATTTACCACAAATGTCCTTAAAACAATGAACAAGAGGCAATGCGACCTGTACCTTCAAGGGTTCATGCAAGGATCCCAACTTGTTTACGCTTGATATTTTGCCAATCCCCATGACGATGAACTGTAGGAAGACACTTAACCATCACATCCACGAGAAACAATCTAGAAAAACAACTTAAATACCAGGTTCCTTAAGTAAAGTTTTCCGAAAGAAATGGCTAGTTATTTCTTCCCTTGCTACCAAGCACACTGACCATTATTTTTTTTTGAAATTACCCCTTGCACATCATAAAGGCGTTCAGCAAGTCTCGGCCACTAAGCCATACAATTTTCTGATGAGAAAAGAAAAAGGGGAAGTACCTACCTTTACATCAATCCTGCTAGTTTTCGAAAATATTTCCCTCAGCTTCTCCAGATCAACATCTGATACTTTAGAGAAAAGATGCATCCAACCTGATAAAATATTCGTAATTTGTTGCATTTCCAGTAAAAATCAGAAAACAAGTATAAAACCTTCCATAAAAAATGTAGGTGAAAGGAAGATAAAACAAAAAGAAAGTCAAGTTATTCTGAAGACAAGGCTTCCCTGAGCAAGCAGTCCCATACCATAGATTAATTTCAGAAAGACAATCAAGGCTTAACTTGGAATGTGGATTTTTTTGTCAGATAACACACATCTAACCGAAGAATGTTAATTTTGTCCATGTTTTCAACTTGTCACCCACCTAACATGGTTACCTAAGAAATAACAGGTTGTAACACACCAAGTACAAGCTAATGAAAACTAGGTGTTCACAGCTCAGATAACCTCAGATGCATACGTACAAGAAAAGTAGAAGCATGCTCGGATAACCCAAGGTGCTGCTGCAATGCAGCTTTGCAGACTGTTTTCCCTTTCATATCCTTCGCATTATACTGTACAGGAAGAAAGTTGTCCGTGGACGGATCTGAGGTGGAGTTGTCAAATCCACAAGGAGCAATAATCACTTTGTTTCTGAAAGAAAATGGGAACATTACATGAATTTTCTTTCAGTGTAAGAAACCAAAAGAATCTGCATGAATGTTTGAGTGAGCTACTTACTTGTGAATGTTCAAGGTAGGATCCAACCCAAGACTCAAGACTCTGAATAACCCTGCCTTTTGAAAGTATGGATGACATAATGACAACTTTATTGGAGTAAACAACTCCACCCTGCAAATTTATAGAAAATAAAACCTCCAGGGAATCCATGCCGAATATTAAAGGAAACTAGAGCTTCCGATAAAGAATGGACTTTGAAGTATGGGAAATAATATTGAATAACAAATGAAATGAGCTGGAAACCAGGACATCATAGCAATGCTGCCTTTTTATGTGTTCTCCAAACTTATATATGGAAGCTGAAATTTGAGGGAATACAATGAAAAAGCAAGGGTTGTGATTTTCACACACCCTTAACTACTTTTCCCACACCCCTTCCTATTTTTTTAATACTTAATTGGTATCCTACTATTTAATCTTTCATATATACCCTTCCTACTTTTTGATGGTAATTAATGAAAGATTAAATAGGGAGGGGTATATATGGAAGATTAAATAGTAGGATACAAATTAAGTATTAAAAAAATATGGAGGGGTGTGGGAAAAGTAGTTAAGGGTGTGTGAAAATCACAACCCAAAAGCAAACATAAAAGAACTAGAGCCTATGTATTGCAACCGTTCATAAATAAATATACTTTATTACCTTGGCCTCCTTCACAATTGTATCTTAACCGAGCCAATTTCCATTCAGTTGAAAGTTGAAATGATATATTGATTCTCATTTGAAAATTTTAAATTTTATGTATCTACAATCTGAATTAAACAGTAAACCATTCATAAAGTCACCAGGTCAAGGCTGGAATGCATTCTTATTTCACATCATACTCAGGAAAGACGGAAACAATACTCAAATCCTAACCCATGTTGTTACATTGTCAAAATTGGACAAATTGCGGGAAGTTTCTCAGACATAAGATAAAATAGTGACTTCAACGTAAGAAGACTATAACATGCAGTCATTGAAAAATATCTATCCAACTGTGTATATTATGCATTAGTTACATGACATAAGATATATATATATATATATATAAAGGACGGTGAATTCCTGTATTATCTTGCAAAAAATTATCAAGAGAAGAGAGACAGAATAGCTATGGAATACACCTTCAACATATTAACGAGATGTGCCTTGGTATTATCTTGCAAACGATCAGGACGGTGAAGTCTAGCGGGATCGAGTCCACATAACTCTAGTTTCTCTGGATGCTCAAGACACTAAAGTATCGATACACAGCATTATAAATTGGATCCATGTGAGTATGTAAAGTTAAAAAGAAAAAATATACAGCTACTTGCCTGTGAGTTGAGGTCATGGCATGTCAATAGAATTCTTGTACCTTCAAGTCCCTGTACAGATGAGGAAAAACAATTATACGGTGACACGAATTCCATGCCAAAAATAAATAAATGTTTTTCTCTAACCTGCAACCACAAGTTGGGAAGGGGCAAGAAAAATACAACAAGATACATTAGAAAAATTGACTCTCATGTGACGGAAAACTAAAGCAGCCAGTGATATCAGTACTGTGATGGACATTTAAGGTACTTAGATTGGCTTCCATGTTGACCACATAAAGTTTTCTGCCTTTCCACATCCTTTATAAATTTCCTTAAACAAGGTGCGAGTTGTATAATGCAGGACAGACACGTTACCACGTAAGCAAGCTGTTAGCATCATACCATCTTCCCCACTACATATTTTCCATAATTCACACTGAGACATTGCCCTCAAATTATATCCATAGGAAAAAGAGCTTCCTTATTCGGTCCTTATTAAGTAGCTAATTAAGTTATAGCATCTCAACCAGGAATCAAATTTGAAGTATGTATGGCTAAGTACACAATGGGCTGCGCACACTTA